GGCATTTTTACACTATTTTTTGAAAACTTTATTTCTGTTCTGCATTTTCTCATGTTCTAGCAGGTCCTTGATCACTGAATTCTGCATATTAGGGCATTACACTTCTGTCTATGGAATATGTAGTAAATACTCATCAGGTGTCTTTTGACTTTTGCTTATGGTGTTTTCATAAAACTTTAATTTTCAGGGTTCAATCTCCCATCCCACACACTCCACCAGCACCGCCCTGGGGCATGCTGAGCCAGCAACTGAGACTGGGCGTGGTGGTGCATGCCTGGAATCCCAGCACTGGGGAGGCTGAGAACAGGAGGATCACTACCAGTCCAAGCTGTGTGGTGAGACCCTGTACCAAATACATAAATAAAAAAAAAAAAAACCATAAATTCTCTATAATCAAATTTATCAGACTTGCATTTGCTAATTTTGTGTTTTGAATAATATTAAAAAGTCTTTATTCTTAAGATTAAAAAGAAATTCATCCATATTTCATTCTAGTACATATATGGGTTTTTGGTTTTGTTTTGTTACATTTAGATTCTTAAGCCATTGGTATCTATTATTGCTTATTGTAAGATATGTGTCTAATTCTTTTCCCAAATGATTTACCCAGCTGTTTCCCCACCATTTATAAAGTTAGCCATTATATCAGAGATTTCAAATATCATATTTATCATAAACAAATTGTTATACATATGTGAGTCTCATCAGTTCTGCTATTATTTTCTTTCTTTCTTTCTTTCTTTCTTTCTTTCTTTCTTTCTTTCTTTCTTTCTTTCTTCTTTATGGCTTTTTCAGACAGGGTCTTGCTTTATGGTCCAGGCTGGCCTTGAATTCAATATGTAGCCTAGGCCAGCCTCAAACTCATAGCAACCCTCCTGCCTCAGCCTCCCAAGGTCTGGGATTACAGAGGTGTGCCATCATGCCTGACTCAGATCCCCATTTTATTGTACTGGGTCTACTTGTCTTTTCACGCACTACTACCTCAGAATTTATACTGCAAAAGCTTTCAAATATTTCCATGTCAGGCAATGCTAATGGTCCCCATGGGGTTTCCGTGTGTGTGTGTGTGTGTGTGTGTGTGTGTGTGTGTGCATGTTTTCATAGCTGTTATTATATGTTTGTTTTTCTATATGCCCTTTAGTATCAACTTTCATCTCGTTGAAACTGTCCTATTAATCAGCTTTGAAACTGTCTCATTCATATTTATTTCTCAATTAAAAAAATAAATAAATAAAATAAAAAACGTTCATCTGGTATAACAGAGCTTGTTGGTGTCTTTACTGAAACAACTCTGAATCTCTATAACTTAGCAGTGCTGAGCTGTTCTGTCCAAGAACTCAAACCTCTATTCATTATCTATTTACTTAAGTAGTCATTGCTTTCTGGGGTGTTTGTTTCCTTATCTAGGTTTTACACATTTCTTGCTCAACTTACTCTGAAATGCCTTTTTGATTACTACTGTAAATTAGTTATTTCCTACAATCAGGTCATTTAACAATTTTTTTACCCCTGTATTGCTGAGTTCTTTCATTGTTTGAGTAGGTTTTATCTCCCTCCTCTATAGTCTTCCTGGTGTGTTATCAGAGTACCTGCAAGAGCACACAGTCTGCATCCTCCTAACTTGGGCGCTCGGATTCCTCCTAACGGAACTGGATGACAACCCCAGTCGAAAGCAAGCAGCAATAGCCAGGCATGACAGCCGCCGCCTGTTTGCCGAGAGCTCTGGAAGGCTGAAGAAGGAGGGAGCAAGAGTTCCGGACAGCTTGGGCTATTCAGTGAGTTCAAAGCCACCCATCTCCAAACAAAAATGGAAAATATAAAACTAATAACTAGTATCACAGATCATGCACATCCTTATTTTGTTCCTGATGTTAGTAATAAGTACTTCCAATATTTTTTTAGATAGGGTCTCATTATGTAGCCCAGGCTAGGCTTGAACTTGGGGCAATCTTCCTGTCTCAATTTCCTATGTGCTAAGATTATAGGCATGTGCCACCACACATTGTATTTTTAAAAATGCAATGCTCACTAGGACAAAGTATACCTATTTTATTGACATAGAATTAATTATATTATAATCATAATGCTGTATTGATACTATATCTGTTGATAATGAAGGAAAAAGTAACCATCAACTCTTATTTCCAGGAGTGCTTTCCACAGAAATGGCCCATATCTTCTCAAAGAGGTCTATCACTTGCTAGAAGATTAAGAATCATCACTATACTGAATCCCTAAAAACAGTAGGACACGAAATATGAGCTACAATATTTTAAATAAATGTGATATATAATCTACAATTGTAAACTATGTTTATTCTAGAATGAAAGAGCCTATATTAAAAATGTAAGAATCAGCCAGGGAGATGGCTCAGTGGAATAAGCGCTTCCCTGGCAAGCGCAAGGGCCTGAGTTCAATCCCCAGTTT